GAAAAACCTCATCAAGGGACATGGAGCAGGGGTAAGAATGAAGTTTTCTATAATATTTACCTTTGGAGGCCATGAACATGTCCAAATATGTTATAAGAATGCATAGGATGAATGATATAACCACTATCATTGTACAGCGACTGTAAAGCATAAAATCTTACACCCCAATTAATCATTATGCCCCAATGATTCATAACCAGTGCCCAGAATATCAGTAGAGCTGCATGTGAACTGGCAACCCCACTAACATATACATTTGTTTTACACCTGGCATCAGCCCGGACACTTGAAATTTTTATGTTCTATTAGTTCTGTTGTTTTTAAAATACCACACATCACCATGTTATGAAATCACCTTAGAATTTGAGGGGTACCCTCCATTGCAGAAAGGAGTGGGAGCAACCCAACAAGTGTGCAGTCTTACTGTTGGTAAAATCACGGGGACTATCATAAATAGATTGAGAGAATGGGTTATCCAAACCTGCATGATCTTACATAAATCATCCCAAACCAAGCTACTTGCTGATGAAGACATCACATGTATTCCACCTACACTATCATTTAAACATGCAACAAAATCCCAACAGAGGCCAAAACTTCTGAACAAGGATGCTAAAAAGTAAAACACTTAATCAGGACTGAAGTATCCCTCCTTAGGCATGCTAGTATGGAAATTCCTGGCATGGATTTTTAGGTTGGCCAGCCTGAACATAGATATACGAACTGGACAGCAAACTGGATAGATGATCATAAACACAGATCATTGTAAATATTAACAGCTCTGAATGGAGAAAATTCACCAGTGTCTGGAGTTGTGGATGTTGCTCTTCATTTGGTCAACTGTCTAAAGTAGGAATGCGCCTGTGGAAAGGGTATGCTAATCCTTGCACTATTCTAGCAGCAAGGATTTCGAAGAGTCAAATATTTTCTTATTTCTCTGCATCCCGGTAAGGTGGGCAGGGCTCATTATACCCATTTTACAGCAAGAACTTGGTATCACAGAGAGTTTAAATGATTTGTCCAAGGTCACAGTAAATCAGTAACAAAAGGACAGAACCTAGGAATCCCAATCCCAGTCCTCTGATTGAACTGCTCCCAAATTTGTTGATAGACAAGAAGTTGGAAACAACACTGATACCTTCTAAAAGATTTAAACACGTGAGAATCATACAAGTTAGAGATGGAAGAGAAGATCAGTAATAGGCCATGGTATCCCATCTCCCTAAGGAAGAGCAGGATTGTTCCATATTGCACATTTTCTAGTCTAAACGTGAATGTTCCAGTAGGTGGGGCTTCCAACACTTCTCTAGAGGGACAATTTCACAGCCAAATAGTTCTAATTGTCAGGATATTCCTTCCTGACAGGTAGCCTAGATTTCCCTTTTCTTATTACGGGTCCCAAAAGTATCAGGGGAATGTGTGTTACAACCTATGAAATGGCTGATTGATTCTAGCAGGAGCAAATATACATGGATATATTGTGGAACTAAGAGTCCGAAGGCAAACCCCACAACAGAGAGGCTCTATAAAAAGGGGTAGCTGTGTTAGTCTTGCGTCTGATGAAGTGGGCATTCACCCACGAAAGCTTACGCTCCAATACTTCTGTTAGTCTTAAAGGTGCCACAGGACCCTCTGTTGCTTTCTATAAAAAGGGAAGTTGCACACCACCCCTGGGGGCCAATCTAAAGTTCTCATCCTGGTTTGGTCATCTTACCTTGCCAAGGAGAGGGCACAGGGAAGAGCTTTTAAACAAGCTAGGAAAGATCCTTGGCTTTAATGATACAAAGAACATCTTAGGTTTGTAGGATTGGGAGAAAGACTGACAGATCCTAATTATGGGATCCATCTCTGACCCAACCCTGTACAGATCACTCAAACTCATTGTCCCAATAGTAAGGTTGTTAGTAGCCAGAAGCAGGATGTTCTCAATAAAGCACTTGCAGCAGGATATGGCTAAATGTATTTCTATTGGGTGCATCTCTTTACCCAAATTTTCTCTGTTTACAAGCTATGAAATCCTGGGCTCTTAGCCAACTGGCCTCATCTCCTTCAAAGCTGCAAGTTACACAAGACTGGCATTTTTGCTTCTTTTATTTAGAATTGTTTATTACCATATTTAAGCCACACAGTACACCCAGAGACCACAGACACCCTATAAATACAGGTAACTAACGTGAACACTACTGAAAGCGTACCTCATGCACCTCTACATAAGCAACATCAGTTCTATCAGAAGAACCACAACTCTGCTCCCCTCCCTCTTTAACCTCAAACCGGATCAACCTCACTAGTGGCCTTCTGCTCTTAGGGCTGCTCTCTTCACACAGGTCTTCCACTAATGAGAAGAAATAAGGCTTGCAGGGAGGCTAGATCTAGGCCCATCTTATCTCCAGTGGCAGCAAATTCCATAGGCAAGGGCTTTCAATAGGAAACGCTGCCCACAGCATTGGGTACTGAAAAAGTTGGAAATCAGAGGGCCTTCCTCTGCCAGTTTCCCTCTCCCAAATGATACATATTTAGGATTTTCTGCCCCAGGAGGTGCTGGCAGAATCTACTTCACTGGGTTCTAAGAAAAAAAATCAAACAGTTCCATCCCAGTGAGTAAATGGGATTAGGTGCACTAGCCGCAGTGACAGGTTCACTAGCTCTGGGTTTAAACTAAGCCAAGGAATTTCCCTCCAGCATGTATTGGCTGAGACCTGCAGGGAGGAGTCTGCTCTCCTCCAAGGCACAGTCCGAGTGAGAATCTATTAGGTTCACATGGCCATCTCTCATACAATTACTTCACCGTGATTGAAGGAGGGTAATCAACACTGGGGACCTTGATCCCTATCTTCTGCATCCATTCTTTACGGTTCACTCTTAGAGCATAGTTAATAGTGCAGAAGAAATAAGCAATTTCATCAATTAAAATCAATGATGTAACAAAACCCTAACATCCCAATAACAGTACTACAAAAAGGCATTCAACATAAGAACAGATCTAATTTAGCCTGCCAGCACAGTCCAGCCACAGCCTGAATCTTACAGATAGCAGGTCACACCCATGAATGCTATACTGCAAGAAACTGTTTGTCTCTCTCCATATAAAAAAAACACAGCTGGACATTTCTAAAATTAAGCCAAATTATTCAAGTGCAAGGGTGTTGATTCCCCCTCACATCAAAGAAATTAGCACTCATAGCAACAGTGCAAATGAAGGCAGCAGATTTTCAGTGAAGTGTAATCACACTGTTTTTAATGAATGTGCAGCTATATTAGCGTTCAGTGCAACTACTATCTGGGCACATGCTACCATGGGAAGGCATAGTCAAATGGTGCACAAAAAACTGCAGAGACAGCACCACACCTGGTGGGCTGATGGCACTGAATCACAGTACCACACCTTGTTTACTACTGGGCCAGATGTAAACACAGTGACAGGCATAGATCCTCATTCAAGCCACCTGCTGCTTTCATGCACCTAGGACCTCATATAATGAATTCCCTTTAATGGCTTTTCTAAAAGCCACCCAAGCTCTGTTTGCCAGGTGAGGTGTAGGAGCATGGCAGCTGTGGGTTTTTCTGCAGAGGTCACCTGAGGGTTGATTAAACTGGTAGCACACAGGAAAAAAAAATCCTGCAGTTTTTGCAGCTCAAGAATGCAGGGCTCAGAAAGCAGTAGGAGAAGTAGCAGTAGCAACACAGCCGCTGAGCAGCATACAGTACAGAGAAAGACAGAGGATTGCAAGTGCTGCACATGTAAAATAAATAAAAGCCATTCCAGCACAAACACAACTCATCCCCCTTATGCACACGCCCTACCCCATACCAATATACACCCCCAGCACATCCCACTGCAGCCCTGCAATCCACACACCCTTTATCGCAATACCATTGAACAGACCCGACCATGTGAAGAGTTTGAACCATACACTCCCCTTTTCCCTATATCCACACACACCCCCATCTCACCACCCCATAATAATAAGCACCTCATGGACATCCCTACCCCCCCACACACACACATCCTAGCCTATCCTCACTATACCCTGCACACACCCATATGCATCCCTACCCCATATCAGTGTGCAGCCTGTCCCTACCCCCCACACACACACATCCTAGCCTATATTCACTATAGCCTGCACACACCCATATGCATCCCTACCCCATCTGTGTGCAGCCTGCCAACACCCACCGCTTACCCCCTTCTCACTTGCCACATATACATACCCCCAACCCCAGCCCACCCTCTTTTGCACTTGCCCCTTCACCCCAGTCCCCATATCCCATACTACCCTACATCCACATAAGCCCCTGTTCAGCTACCCCCAGCAACCCTTCCCCACAGCATGTCAGACACCCACACCCCACAGCAGGGGAGGGAGACATTAAAACCCACCACCACTAGCACAGACCCCCCACAAGGAACCCCAAGCCAGCAGGGGGGAGGGGGATGTGATGGAGCTGTGAGGGAGGGTCTCAGGAGGGAGGGGGCACAGTGGGGGCAAGGCTATGAGGTGGGTTTCGGGAGGAGGGGGACACAGTAGGGGTGGGGCTGTAAGGGGAGAAGACACAGACCCCAGCTCAGCAGCGGGGTGGGGGACACGGTAGGGGTGGGGCTGTGAGAGAGAAGAAGGGGATGCTGGGGGGTGGGGCTGTGAGGGGGCACACGGACCCCAGCCCGGTGGGTGGGGCTGGGGGGGGTCTGAAAGAAGAAGGGGATGCTGGGGGTGGGGCTGTGAGGGGGCACACAGACCCCAGCCCGGCGGGGGGAGGACGCGGTGGGGGGGTGGGGCTGCG